TTAGTTTGGCCAAAACACAATTTAATGTGATAATAATTTATTTACTTTGGTATCTATTTAGAAAATGGAGTCAGAAGTGACGAACAGAACGCATTCATTCATCAAAAATCAGATGAAATAAAAAGTTTCAATAGAATTGAAGTTGAAAGGAATGAACAAAATGCATTCAATTATTATCAAAAATTAGCAATAAAGGGTAATCAAGATATGAACTTGACCTTAGTTAAAAAAATAATAATAGTTAGTTTGTTTTGCATGATTATTTAGGAAACGGTGCTGAAAAGGATAAGCAGAAGGCATTCATTCATTTTCAAAAACCTGCAGAAATGGAAAATTCCAATGAAATTGGAATTGAAATGAATGAACTTAAAGCATTTATTTATGATCAAAAATCAGCCAGGATGGATAATTCTGAAGAAATATTCGTAAAGCTATTGACATTTTATTTATTTAATTTTAACTAATGCGAGTCTCTTTAGAAATTTAGAAAATAAATTTCAGATGCCAAAGGGTTGGGCACTTCTAGAAAACACAAAATTCGACAAAAAAGGCAGTAGAAAAAAAATTAAAACCAAGGTTATTGACTATCTAAAACAATTTTTTCTTAATGGTAACCTAAACCCCAAGGACAAGCTTACAGCCAAAGAAATGTATGAGGAGTTGTTGGAGCTCGTACATTTTGGAGAAATCGATGAGGACCATGTGCCCAAAGTTACTATTATTCAAAACTGGATTGGACAATATTCGAGGGAATTTAACCAGCAAGGGATTGTCATCACGCTTGAAACTTTTAAAGCAACAGGTCCTTCATCAATTGGCAAAGATTAGTAAATATAGTAGCATTCATACTTCATCTTATTCTAAATTTTAAATTTTTGTAGCTTATTATTTTATTTTAAAAATAGGGTTGTAAAGAATAAACATAAGATGTCTATTTATCATCAAAATTTGATATTGTGAATATTCAAATTGATTACTGTTAATAAAATGAAAAATTGCTAATAAAAAATGAATTTACTGTCAAATAATTTAATAAATAGGATAATATGAAATAAATATTCGATTTATGATGTAAATTTTGGATTAGACGAGTAAATTGAATATTTTGAGATTCCATTCACAAAATAAGCTTTATTTAGACTACAAATACGTAAATACAAAACATCAAATTCATATATATACTATAACACAGTATTAATGTATATTGGCTAAGTCTATATTAGTGTTTCAGGCAAAACCCAATTTTACAGATCATTTGCAGATCAAATTGGGCGAAACTAGTTTCGGAGAGTTTCGGACTTCTAGGGTGAAATTAAAATTCCTCTGGGCAAAACATTTCGAATTTGGAAAATAATTTCACCCAAAACACTAGTCTATACTAATAAAATAACTTTCTTAAATACAAGTTACTCTTAACTAATTTAGTTGATTATAACTAAAACAATGAACTTATGAATTTCAATTGAACTTATATGTTCAATTCAAATTCAAATTACATTGACTGAAGTTTTTCACTATATCAGGAGTTCATTATGGTGAATGCAGATAAAACATCGTTAATAAAAAATAATGCAAGTAACATTCAAAGATTAACTAAAAAGAACAATAATAGTAGACCACTTAGCTAAAAAGTAGCATATCGACTTTTAAAGTCAAATTTTGATTTCATAACTTGCAGCTTTAATATAAGATCCTTATACATAATGTATATGATATCATGCTTGAAGTTAATATCTGCTTGAAGTTATACTGAATGAAATTAAGCCTCCGAAATCAGATCTTTCAAATGCATAATTTGGTAACTTTAGGCAGGTGCAGCTTCAGGAACTTGAAGTTGTAATTTCAAGAAAATACTAACTTCAAGCATGACATACAAACCCTTGATTGAATATAGACTATTAAAAAAGTGCATTACTGTAGGGATCAGTCTAATATAGGTCAATTTTCAGTATGAATCTGAAAAAAAAGATGAGTTAACTAGACCGAAATAAGATATGAGAATTGAAATCGCATGATTTACAATATTCGTGAAAGAAATGTTATAATATAAAGAATAAAATCATAGAAGTTATTGAAATAAACAATTTTACTTCTATTTTTATTATAATGCTAAATAATCTTGGCGAGTCAGTGTGTCTAGTTGAATAGATCAAAAAAAAAAAGTGTTTTTGGAATAATTAACATTGAAATTGTTAGAGAACCCGAATTATTTTGACCTGAATGTGCGTGGTTTACTGAGTAAAGTTTTTAACTTTCGTCTTAAGATAAAATTTTATTTAAGTTATTAATTTTAATGGTTATATTCTATTAAATTTTAAAATCAAATTGTGTTTTTTTTTGAAAATGCCAATAGTTTATTATAAGGCCAAAATGACGTGTTGGAGGTTGGTTATAATTGATCTTTACTGTGTAACCATATCAAATTTATACCCTTTATCTACGATCTACTTCTTAATAGTTTTACTTAGAATAAAAATTTTAGAAGCAATTAAATTAGTAATAGGAATACTAAATAAAAAAAAATACAAATTAGATATTTAACAATTGTAAAGCAAATAAGATTTAAGTAATTTGTATTGAGATTAAGTTAATGTTTAGAATTAGTTTTGCCAAGAAATTGTATTAAGATAATTGTAGAAACTTTAACAGTACAAATTTGGTTAATTCTATAAGAATTAAGATAATATTTTATATATTATTTATATTCAACAAAAAATAAAAAGTAGAAGTTTGAGTTATTTAAATTTATATTAGAAGTTTAATAGGTAATAAAGTCATAGTTAGATAAGAAAAAGTATTTTTGTATTTTTTTAATAATAATCTCATTATTGTAATATGAAAGCAATCAGAGTTTAAATTTTATAAGTTTTTTAGATATATTAATAATATAATAAACATAAGAATTATAACCAGATAATTAGTAATATAGTGTTACAAAGTAGATCTTTAGTATAGTATAGTATATTATATTATTAGTAGTTGTTACATATTCATTCTTGTATTTTATATTATATTTATTATTAGTTATTAGCATAGTTATATTATAGTATATAGTAGTTAGAA